GGCGGTCGCGTCCCGGCAGCTGCACGCTGCTCGCTGCTGCAGCCCGGGGGAGGGGCGGCGTGCACGTGCACGACGGGGGCACAAGTGCACGAGGAGGGCATTAAGTCGAAGCCGGCGACGCGACGATGGCGCTCGCGGTTTCGACCGTCGGATGATGGGCGGAGCAGAGTCGCGATACTGATCTGGTGATCACCGCCGCCGCCCCTCCCGGTGAAAGGAACACACAGCCGAGGCGGTGTTTCCAGCAGAGCCGATAGCCCCGGCCGCAGTGTGTCGCCGCGTGGTCGCCGCTCACCCGGTCCGGCCCCGGCTGGCCGGCGGGTACCCTCCTCGAGTCTCCTTGCGGGATTGACCAGTCTGGGCGCGTCATTGGCTGGCCGTCTGACGCGGCGCCGAGCTGCGCCTCTTCTCCGAACCGCTTGTGTATTCGGCGAACAGTAGCCCAGTGTGGCGGCGGGGCGGGGCAGGGCAGGACGACGGGGTCCTATCCCGCCCGCGTCCCGCCCCGCCCCACTTGGGCTGATACTCGCCGGGTCCCGGAAGCACCACCCCGATAGCGAGTCAATGCGCAGGCACCGCGCCACCGCGCACCTGGCCGGGTACTCGCGCTTTTGAGAACTCGAGTACTCGCAGCAGGTGCTGCTCGACCATAGCAGCACTCATCACTTCAATAATTTTTATTTCTTGTAGGGGAGGGGGGAATTTTGTCCCAGAAGGCGGTGGAGGCCTTGTTTGTGGAGTCCAGCCGTGACCCCGGCCGAGTGTACGCCGATTTCAAAGATGATAGGTTTGTGTAGATGATTGCACTATACAGTCCATTTTAGACCGGGCCGCGCTCGACGTGTTGTGTTGGCAGCGCAGCCCGCTGTGCCCGGTCTCGCCCGAAGGCCCCGAAGGCTCCGAAGGCATGGCTCGACTCGACGAGCCTTGCGGTTTGTGTAGACACGCGGCGGGACATCCAAACTATACTCGGCCGGGCGCGGCGCACCCACAACACCCCGTGAAGTACACTACCAAGTGTAGCACTGCCGGCTCGGGCCGCCACGGCGAGAGTCCTTGACGTGATCATACGCATCGGGCTGATGGGGGCTCTGGGCGCCCGGCCCCGGGCCCCGGCACGGCGCGACCGATAGGAGAGCTCGGGCCGGGCATTTAGAGCGATCCGACTATAAAACGCATCAAGCACACACACACGCACACACACGCTCGCGCGGCCCGTTTTTGAATTCTTGTAGCACACATACGGGCCCGGGGCCCGGCCCGCGGCGGCGCTGATGGTAGCCAGCCCGAGGTTTATTGATGTTCCTGTGTTTTGATGGGAGGGCCGCCGCGGCGTAGCGGCAACAGTTTGGAAGCAACCGGACGCGGCCCAGCGGCGGCGTTACGGGGCCCGCCGCGGCCCGCCGCCCCACATCCCTTATCCTGGGCGCGGCGGGGGCGCCCGGCCCGGATGCACCTCTGGCAGCGCTTCCTGCAGTGTCACCTGGGCCGCCCCTCGGCCCCGTCTGCAAGGTGCTCGCCCGCCGCCAGTCGCAGGCATTGACCGGCGGCCGGCCCACTCCGACTCGATTGGTGGCAGGACGTGTCTGATTCAGGGAGACGCGGGCCCCAGGAGTGCGCTGCTCAGCACGCCCCCGCGCGACACCCGCCCGAGGTGACTGACTCCGGGGGCTTCCCCTACGGAGACGCCACTGTGGCAGGGACCATGGGAGAAGGGCGCCTTGGACACTGGGCGGCAGGCGGCGACACGACTCTGCCAGCTTGCACCCTGGTCCAGTCTTGAGTCCAGTCCCGACCTGTCCGCGGCGTGGTCAGGTGTGGTGACCCCCCCCCCCTTCCCCCTCCGGGCCCGCGGCGCCACTGCCGCACCTGTCCAGCCGGTCACCGCGGCCAGCGCTCGGGCGGTTGCCGGGCAGGCCGGGTGTCTGTACCGCCGGTTGCGCCGAGTGGGTATGCAAAGCGAAAACCCCCTCCACCCCTTCTCCTCCCGGCGCCCCCACGACTTGGAGAATTACTTTTGGCGGCAGCACGCTAGGTCGTTCTCAATGTCTTTTTCCAAAGTGAAAGGAGCGGCCGATGTCTCCTGTCCCATAGTCCCTCGGTCATGCGGGTGCTCGCCGTCCTGGCCACGCGTGCCGTACCCTCCCTAGCGCTGCCGGCGAGGCTGGCCGGCCGGTACCATGCTGGAAGGGGCGTGGCCGGCGCGTGTCCGAACATCGCTCACCCCGAGATGAACGAGAAGAATGTGTGGGACCCCCCCCCCCCCTTTTCCCTCCGCCCCGGTATTGATTCAGCCGGCGCGGCGGGCGGCGGGCCTGGAGCCTTGGTCCCGAGTTGTGTCGCCGGCGCCGGCCCGGCCCGGCCCGGCCTGCAGCGCGCCCGCGAGGCTCACCCCTCCGGGTAACGACGCTCCATTGCGTGGTTCTCCGGTTCGAGAAACCCTTTTAACAAACAAACACACACCGCAAGAGGTGCGCTTCGACATTGCCACACGAACCGTCGTCGCCATGGAGCTTGCGGTCCCCACGGGTCCCCGTGCGGTCGCGAGGAGCGGGTGAGCTGCTGCTGCTGGATGGGCCCCCTGCCCCCCTGGGTGTCGGCGGCGCGCTTCCAAACTCCTTCCTTTCGCCCCGCCCCGCTCGCTCCGGGTCGACGAGCCGCCGCGGCCAGTGGCATTCCCCCTCCCGCCCCTCCCCTATGGTCTCCCAGCGCCCTCAGAATGCCCCGCGGTGGGCTCGGCGCGCGCGCTTCGAGTGAGGTGAGGTGTCCGCGCGACTGCCCGGCCCCCGGCCCGCCTCCGCTCCGCTGCGGCCCCGCCGCGGGCCTCACGCTTTGGAACATGACGGCTGTACACTTGCGCGGGCGGCCCGATACCGAAACCCGTGAAGGCCTCCACGGCCTATCTGGCCTCCACGGCTCGTCGGCTCCTCCCTCACTCCACGACCTCCCTCCTCCACGACCTCCCTCCTCCACGACCTCCCTCCTCCACGACCTCCCTCCTCCACGACCTCCCTCCTCCACGACCTCCCTCC